GGGAGAGGCCACAACAGTGAGAGGCCCGCGTACCGCAAAAAAAAAAAACAAAAAAAGAAAAGAAATAGCAGGGACTTCCCTGGTGGCACAGTGGTTAAGGATCTGCCTGCCAGTGCAGGGGACACGGGTTCGATCCCTAGTCTGGGAAGATCCCACATGCTGCAGAGCAACTAAGCCCGTGCGTCACAACTACTGAGCCAGCGCTCTAGAGCCCGTGAGCCACAACTACTGAGCCTACGTGCCACAACTACTGAAGCCCGTGTGCCTAGAGCCCGTGCTCCGCAACAAGAGAAGCCACCGCAATGAGAAGCCTGCGTACTGCAACGAAGAGTAGCCTCCACTCACCGTAACTAGAGAAAGCCTGCGCGCAGCAACGAAGACCCAACGCAGCCAAAAATAATTAATTAATTTTTAAAAATCGCTTAAAAAATAGCAAATACCAAAAAAATGTTTTCCATTAGATGAGCCCACAGACCACCTGCAGGGCCCCTGAGAGCCATTTGTTTCTTCTCCCTTTTATCCTGTGTCCACCATCTTTTGCTTTCCCACCTATAAAATGGGAACCCCACTATGAGACAGCCTGCTATGAGACTGAAAGCAGAGCCAGCAAGGAAGGCAGGGTGTATCTGGCACTGAAGTGAAAGAGGGCAAATCAGAAATGAGATCACATCAGTAGTTAGGGAATAACAGTAATAATGCTACATAAAATTTATGAGCGTATATGTGCCAAACATTTAATCCTAATAACTCTATAAGATACTATTATCCTCATTTTACAAATGAGGAAACTGAAGCACAGAGAAGCATCTTCCCTAAGGTAAACAAAACAAAGAAATAATGGAGTCAGAATTCAGCCCTGCCTGGCAGCCACTAAGCTGTGCTGCTTCGATACAAACTAAAATAACAATGAGATTTTTTCCTATCAGATTGGTAACATTTCAAAAGATTGATGGGGCTTCCCTGGTGGCGCAGTGGTTGAGAGTCCGCCTGCCGATGCAGGGGACACGGGTTCGTGCCCCGGTCCGGGAAGATCCCATATGCCGCGGAGCGGCTGGGCCCGTGAGCCGTGGCCGCTGAGCCTGCGCGTCCGGAGCCTGTGCTCCGCAACGGGACAGGCCACAACAGCGAGAGGACCATGTACCGCATTTCAGGAAATAGGTGCAAACATACTTTTTGGTAGAAGTATAAATTACTGAAGGCCATTTGGCAAGTGTTACCGAAATTTTAAATGGGCATCGATAACTTTTGACCTGGCCATTCTATTTTCAGGACCTCATCCTACAGAAATACTCACAAAGATGTCTACACACAGATGTTCAATGAGGCACTGTTTTTTTTTAATTAGTTAATTAATTAATTTTATTTTTGGCTGCGTTGGGTCTTTGTTGCCGTGCGTGGGCTTTCTCTAGTTGTGGTGAGCGGGGGCTACTCTTCACTGTGGCGCACAGGCTTCTCATTGTGGTGGCTTCTCTTGTTGGGGAGCACAGGCTCTAGGTGTGAGGGCTTCAGTAGTTATGGCACGCGGGCTCAGCAGGTGTGGCTCATGGGCTCTAGAGCACAGGCTCAGTAGTTGTGGCACGTGGGCTCAGTTGTTCCATGGCACGTGGGATCTTCCCAGACCAGGGCTCGAACCCGTGTCCCCTGCACTGGCAGGCGGATTCTTAACCACTGCGTCACCAGGGAAGCCCAGCACTGTTTTAAAAGAGGAAGAAAAAAAAAAAAGAGGGAGAGAGAGAAACAATTTCAGGAGCCATAGGTAGGAAATAACTAAATGACTAAAACATCACAATATATCCAAGATATTAAGTAGTCTGTATCCTTTAAAAATGGAGGTCAATTCATAGATGCAGATGTGGAAAGAATTCTAAAATGTGGTTAAAAGAAAAACAATTATCACAGAGCAATGTGTATAATATGGCCCTATTTACATAAAAAATAAGATGTGAGAATCACTTACATTTCTTCCTAGAAGAGTGATGTCTTTGCTTCCCTTCTCTCACTCCCTCCCTCGAAAACAAAAATGAAAGCAAAAGCCACATAATTCAGAGATAAGTTGTAAAAAATAAGTCATGTGTTATTTATAAATCAATCATACAATAAAACAATAATTTTAAAAGGTCACAAATACACCAGTTGTATAAAGTCAGCTTGGAGTCAAGTACCTCTTTAAATACATTGCAAATCACTTCTATTTCAGAAGTTCTTTTCCAAACGGATGTGGTTCAAACCCAGTGATGGCTTTATAATTTCATATTTGATAACAAGTCAACAAAACTGGCAATAAATAGTCCAACAATAATTTTTTTTAATTAATTTATTTGTTTAATATTTATTTTTGGCTGTGTTGGGTCTTCGTTTCTGTGCGAGGGCTTTCTCCATTTGTGGCGAGCGGGGGGCCACTCTTCATCGCGGTGCGCGGGCCTCTCACTGTCGTGGCCTCTCGTTGTGGAGCACAGGCTCCAGATGCGCAGGCTCAGTAGTTGTGGCGCACGGGCTTAGTTGCTCCTTGGCATGTGGGATCTTCCCGGACCAGGGCTCGAACCCGTGTCCCCTGCATTAGCAGGCGGATTCTCAACCACTGTGCCACCGGGGAAGCCCCAACAATAATTTTTAAAAATACTAAGTGGTAAACACTATTCCTAGTTGTGAAACAATCTATTATTCAGACAACCTGAAGATTTCTTTGAAGTCAGTAAAGAGTTACACAAAATTTATTTTTCTACATTTAAAATCCTTGCTGTATTTTCCTTGAAGCGATAATGTTATACACAAAAGCTCAAAGGATTGATATTTAATTGAAAGTCCCAATAAGTCAACAAACAGCATTCATTATAAGTTGAACATAAAAGAGACACACAACATCCTGTTTGCTTCTCTTTTCAAAAACTGCCATGGCTCCTTGTCAAGTCGAAGCAGTACCCAGACCAATAGTTCCCAAAGTTTGGAGTACACGAAAATCTTGTTAAAATGAAGGTTCCTGGGCCCTGTCCCCAGACTCTGAGCTCTGATTCCTGAGTATAATGAATCTGCATTTTTCAACAAGATCCACAAGGATTTTTTTTTTTTTCGGTACGCGGGCCTCTCACTTTTGTGGCCTCTCACGTTGCGGAGCACAGGCTCCGGACGTGCAGGCTCAGCGGCCATGGCTCACGGGCCCAGCCGCTCTGCGGCATGTGGGATCTTCCCGGACCGGGGCACGAACCCGTGTCCCCTGCATCGGCAGGCGGACTCTCAACCACTGCGCCACCAGGGAAGCCCGATCCACAAGGATTTTTATGAGGTGGTACAAGAACCCCACTGACCATTCAAAACTGTCCAGTCCTAACTTATTGCCATTGGTTGGAAACCTAATTCTGGGCAGCTCCCTCACCTCTTTAGTTTCCTTATCCTTAAAGCCAGTCAATTGGACCAATCATCTCTGAGGGCCCTGAAGCCCTAACATGGTTGTGACTGACCCCAGATGTAAAATGTAGTTTTAGCTAAGAACTTGGTCTTCACGCCAATACTCGTCTTTGCAAGTCACTGGGTTTCTGTCTTTTCTCCACCTTCTGAAAAGTCTGCTTCCATCAGTTCCGTTTCCAGGAGCACCTGAGTAGAGGAATTCTGAAACTGACATCTATGTTAATTTGGGGGACTTTCCTTATGCAAACAGGGAAGCTCCCAGCAATCCTGAGAGCTGTTGCATGTACATGGTATGTGGTGAAACCCGCTTGGTTGGGAAACAACAGAAGCATTCCCATAATGTTAATCAGGTTCCAAATCCCCCTACCTAACTTCCATCCGAGGAGCTGGAAAACTCAATAGGAGGTTTTAACACTGGTTGAACTTGAAGAGTAAGAGCTGGATTTCCTAGAGAATTTGACTGATGTGTGGGACACTTGCATCTGTTTTACAGTACGGACGCTCCGACAAAGCAGAGCATTCTTTGCGTGATCCCTGATGTCTTGTGAAATGAAGTAATAGACAAAGGGGTCAATGCAGCTGTTGAGGGTGGAGAGGCAGAGGGCTACGAGGTACAGGGCATAGACGCAGCTCTGGCCCCAGTTTTTAATCAGGAAGTAATGCACCACGAGCAGAAGGTTACTGGGAGTGAAGCAGATCAGGTACATGGCCAGGACAGTGACGATGAGCTTGATGGCTCTCTGCCTCTTCTTTTCTGAGTTCTTATCCAAGGCAGAAGACTGGAGGGTCCGGATCATCAGCACATAGGCAAAGGCCGTAAGGAAGGCTGGGAACAGAAAGACTCCGATGGCCAGAGAGAGGAAATAATTGAACATGTCCCCCACCAACACCTCCTTTGGCAAAACATCATGACAGGTCGTGATGTTAAGGGCTGGAATGTAGATGGTCTGCTTCACAGCGTATAAGGGGATAGTAACCAGCAGAATCAGCAGCCATATTCCCAGGGAGACACTGATGGCAATGCTCGCTTTCTTCATGGGGTACAGCATGGGGTTCACGATGACCCAGTATCTCTGCACACTGAGACAGGTCATGAAGAGGATGGAGCAGTACATGTTGCCGTAGAAAAAGCCAACGAGTACCTTGCAGAGAGATTCGCCGTAAATCCAGTCGTTGCCATGGATGTGATAGGCAATCTTCAAAGGGAACCAGACGACAGAGAGGAGGTCCGCCAAGGCCAGGTTGGCCATGTAAATCACAGCAGGGTGCGTCTTCTTTGTTCGGAAAAGAAAGACCCACAGGGCCATGCCATTACTTGGCAAACCAACCGCAAATACGATCATGTAGACAATTGGAAGGAAGACAGTAGTCAGTTTTCCAGTGAGGACAGAGGCAGAAAACTCATCCACAGAAAAGCCTGGTTCCGCTGTTGCTCCTCTCCCCGTGATCTGAGGTGAGTTATCAACATAACCGATGAGACTTCTTCCTTTGGAGGATCTACTGGTTCCTGCGCAAGAAAGGCAAGGCAGACAAGGGTCATTACAGAAATCAACGTTTCCATAGAAATGCTGGTTTGTCCAAATAAAATCGCTTCAAAGAAAGACAGACGGGCCGGTGGGAAGGTCACGGACAAGATGGTGCTGCTAAGCGCTACAGTCACCTGAAAATTGGGGCAGAAGAGGAAAGGAGCAGAGCAGCCGAGGAGAAAAGGCAGCAGAATGAACTGAAAGGGACTGAGAGAGAACTGGCACGGACAGCATGTTATGGCAGCCCTGCCTTTCTCCGGAGCAGTGTAGTTGAAGAAAGCTTCCTGTGCTGTGTGAAAGAAGAGAAAGGAAAAAGACAGGAGGAGTGCACAAAATACTTACGGGTGCTTTCTTTGGGTGATGGAATTACTGGGATTTCTATGGTCTGGATTGGTTTGCTTGCTGCTTTTTTTTTTTTTTTTTTTTTTTTA